AAATTAGGAGTTTGTAGCATGTTAGAGATACTAATAGAATATAGAATTCAAATAAGGTTTAGGGCTTAGGGCTTTGGTGGCTTGGGGCTTACGGGCTATCGGACTTGTGGGCTTTGGGGATTTTGGGTTAATAGTTGGGGGTTTGGGATTAGGGCTTAGGGCTTAAGGAGTAGGTATTAGGTATTAGGTATTAGGGAGTAGAGAGTAGGGATTAGGGGTTAGGGATAACGGATTAGGGGTTAAGGGTTAAGGGTTAGGTATTTGGGTTTATTGTGCTTTTGCTCCACCTCCTTATCATTCTTGTCCTATTTTTTTCCTTTATTGTTTGTTATCTTTTATATTTTTATTTTTATGTGCGTAACTAATCTAATGTATGTTTTGATTTCAATTGTTAGGGGAATGGTGGAGATAAGCTTGTATAGCGGAGTTTAGGAGTGAAAAGATAAGTACATCTATTTGTCCAAATTTGATTGACTTTCTTTTACATGTAAAATGTTTTTTATAAATGATTATTTCTGCTTCTGTTTGTAATTCTTACTTGTCATGATCATTGTTTCTATTATTTTCAATCCCCAACATTCTCATTATCCCATTGTTTCCTTTTCATTTTTCGTTGTTATTTTCGTATTTTACACCACCTATAATTGCATAGCATTTCTTTGATTATATGTGGTTTTTTTGCTTTTCTATTAGATTAATTATGTGTTATTTTTTTTATTATCTTTCTATTGAAATTATTAAATATCGGAAACTAAATTTAATTACTTGGAAAGGTTGTGAATGGTTAAATCATTGATGAAAATTAGGAGTTTGTAGTATGTAAAAGATAGTCATGGAATATAGAATTCAAATAGGGTGTAGGGCTTGGGGCTTACAGGCCTTTGGGGTTTTGGGTTAATAGTTAGGGGTTAGGGAGTAGGGATTAGAGATTTGGGATTAGGGATTAGGGAATCGGGCTTAGGGATTAGGGCCTAGGGAGTAGGGATTAGGAATTAGGGATTAGGGATTTGGGGTTAGGGATTTGGGTCTATTGTTCTTTGGTTTCTGTTTCTCTGCCTTCTCATCATTGTTATCCTGTTTATTTCCTTGTTGTTTATTATCTTTTGAATTTTCATTTTTATGTGTGTAACTAATCTAATGCTTGCTTTGATTTCAGTTGTTAGTGGAATGGACGAGATAAGCTTGAAAACGGAGTTTAGGCGGGAAAAAATAAGTATATCTATTTGTCGAAATTCGATTTACTTTCTTTTACATGTAAAATGTGTTTTACACATGACTATTTCTACTTCTTTTTGTATTTCTTACTTGTTATGAGTATTGTTTCTATTATTTTCAATCTCAAACACTCTCATTATTCCACTGTTTCCTTTTCATTTTTTGTTGTTGTTTTCGTGTTTTACACAACTTGTAATTGTATGACATTTCTTTGATTTTATGTGTTTTTTTGCTTTTCTATTAGATTAATTATGTGTTATTTTTTTTTATTATATTTCTATTGAATTTGTTAAATGTAGGAAACAAAATTTAATTACTTGGAGAGGGAGCAAATGGTTAAATCATGGAAGAAAATTAGGAGTTTGTAGTGTGTAAAAGATACTAGTAGAATATAGAATTCAAATCGGGTGTAGGGCTTAGGGCTTTGCAGGCTTGGGACTTACGGGCTATCGGACTTACGGGCTTTTGGGTTTATAGTTAGGGGTTAGGGTTTAGGGATTAAAGATTAGGGCTTAGGGTGTAGGGAATAGGGATTAGCGATTAGGGAATAAGGCTTTGGGAGTAGGTATTAGGGATTTGAGATTACGGATTACGGATTAGGGTTTTGAGATTTGGGTGTATTGTTCTTTTAGATCTTTTGCTCCACCTCCTCATCATTCTTGTCCTATTTTTTTTTTCTTTATTGCTGTTTGTTATCTTTTGGATATTCATTTTTAGGTGCGTAACTAATCTAATGTGTGTTTTGATTTCAATGGTTAGTGGAATGGACGAGATAAGCTTGTAAAACAGAGTTTAGGCGTGAAAAGATAAGTATATCTATTTGTCCAAATTCGATTGGCCTCTTTTACATTAAAAATATTTTTTACACATGACTATTTCTGCTCCTTTTTGTATTTCTTACTTGTTATGATCAATGTTTATATTATTTTTAATTCTCAACACTCATTATCCCACTGTTTTAATTTCATTTTTCGTTGTTTTCGTGTTTTGCACAACCTATAATAGCATAGCATTTCTTTGATTATATGTGTTTTGTTTATTTTTCTATTAGATTAATTATGTGTTATTTCTTTTTTTATTATCTATCTTTTGAAATTGTGAAATATCGGAAATAAAATTTAATTACTTGGAGAGAGAGCAAATGGTTAAATCATTGAGGAAAATTAGGAGTTTGTATAATGTAAAAGATACTAATAGAATATAGAATTCAAATAGGGTTTAGGGATTAGGACTGACGGGCTATTGGACGTACGAGATTTTGGAGTTTTGGGTTAATAGTTAGGGGTTCGGGCTTAGGAGGTAGGGATTAGGGATTAGGGATTAGGGATTAGGGATTTTGGATTAGGGAATAGAGATTAGGGATTTGAGTTTATTGTTCTTTTCCTTTTATTGCTCCACCTACTCATCATTCTTATCCTATTTTTTTCCTTTATTGTTGTTTGTTATCTTTTGAATTTTTATTTTTATTTGTATAACTAATCTAATGTGTGTTTTGATTTCAGCTGTTAGTGGAATAGACGAGATGAGCTTGAAAGTCGAGTTTAGGAGTGAAAAGATAAGTATATCTATTTATCCAAATTCGATTGACTTTCTTTTACATGTAAAATGTATTTTACACATGACTATTTTTACTACTTCTTGTGTTTTTTACTTGTTATGATCATTGTTTCTATTATTTTCAATTCCAAACACTTCCATTATTCCACTGTTTTTTTTTTATTTTTCGTTGTTGTTTTCGTGTTTTACACCAAACCTATAATTGCATGGCATTTTTTTGCTTTTCTATTAGATTAACTATGTGTTATTTCTTTTTTTATTATCTTTCTATTTAAATTGTTCAATGTAAAAATAAAATATAATTATTTGGGGAGGGAGCAAATGGTTAATTTATGGAAGAATATTAGGACTTTGTAGCATATAAAAGATACTATTAGAATATAGAATTCAAATAGGGTGAAGGGCTTAGGGTTTTGGAGGCTTGGGGCTTACGGGTACCAGACTTACGGGTTTTTGGGTTTTGGGTTTATAGTTAAGGTGTAGGGATTTGAGATTAGGGATTAGAGATTAGGGATTAGGGCTTAGGGTGTAGGAATAGGGATTACGGATCATGGATTAGGGGCTAGGGGTTAGGAATTTGAGTTTATTGTTCTTTTGCTCCACCTCCTCATCATTTTTGTCCTATTTTTTTCCNATAGGGTGAAGGGCTTAGGGTTTTGGAGGCTTGGGGCTTACGGGTACCAGACTTACAGGTTTTTGGGTTTTGGGTTTATAGTTAAGGTGTAGGGATTTGGGATTAGGGATTAGGGATTAGAGATTAGGGATTAGGGCTTAGGGTGTAGGAATAGGGAATAGGGATTACGGATCACGGATTAGGGGCTAGGGGTTAGGAATTTGAGTTTATTGTTCTTTTGTTCCACCTCCTCATCATTTTTGTCCTATTTTTTTCCATTATTGTTGTTTGTTATCTTTTGAATTTTCATTTTTATGTGCGTAATTAATCTAATGTGTGTTTTGATTTCAATTGTTAGTAGAATGGACGAGATAAGCTAATTAGGAGTTTGTAGCATGTAAAAGATACTAATGGAATATAGAATTCTAATAGGGGCTTTGGGCTTTGGAGGCTTGGGGCTTACGGGCTTTTGGGGTTTTGGATTCATAGTTAGGGATTAGGGATTAGAGCTTTTGGGAGTAGGGATTAGGGATTTGAGTTTATTGTTCTTTTGTTTCTTTTGCTCCACCTCCTTATCATTTTTATCCAATTTTTTTCCTTTATTGTTGTTGGTTATGTTTTGGATTTTCATTTTTATGTGCGTAAGTAATCTAATATGTGTGTTTTGATTTCAGTTGTTAGTAGAATGGACGAGATAAGCTTGCAAAGTGGAGTTTAAGAGTGAAAAAATAAGTATAACTATTGTNATATGTGTGTTTTGATTTCAGTTGTTAGTAGAATGGACGAGATAAGCTTGCAAAGTGGAGTTTAAGAGTGAAAAAATAAGTATAACTATTGTCCAAATTCCATTGTAACCTGCGATGAACCATCCTATTTGCTTATGGTTGTTTCCTTTGTTGATCTTGGAATTTGGAGACATTGCTTTCTTTCATGGTTATCTTTTTGAGGAGACTAAAATGATGAATAAATGCTGGTTCTCTCCATAACTATTGGTAACGCATTAGTTTTCGATAATGATTTTGGTGTTTTATTTTCCTCCTGCAGGGTGCCTTTGTTCTTTGTTGTCTATTTAAGAAGCATGATGAAAAGCAAGATGAGAATGTTAAAGACGAAGTTGAACAAAATATTCCTTCTCCTTCAGTAGTTAAATTTCCCTCTGATGGTACTCACTCAGAGCCAGTTACCCCAGTGATGGGTAGACAAGCTGGATTGTATTCTCCAAGTACTGAAGGTGGGCATGTTGAAACTGAGAGTCCAACACTTTATGCTCCTTTACCTATTGACCAGGACAGCAGTAGCCTTGTTGTTGATGATACAAAAGATAAATTGTTAGACATACAATCCCTCCTGGTGTGGAGTTGAACTAACTTCTAGTTTATATTAGATTAAACCATGTTTCTGTGTTAATTGGGAGTCCAATAAAGTACTTATAATTCTTTCTTCTTTCATAATTTAGCCGGACCCCGAGCTGGAATAATTTTTGGGAGATCTTTGTGACCCTATGCCAAAGCCACTCTTTTTTCCGTTGCACTCGCACTCGCAGATGCAGGTGGACCTTGGATCTTCCTACTTATTTGGTCCTCTTAACGGCGACATCGGTAACAACCACACCTAGATGCAGTTTCAACCAGATACAAATGCATTAGATATCAATGAGTTCCTGGACATGGTCCCAGTTGGCTCAGATGAGCATTCTTGTGAAGATTCTGGCAGTAATAAGATTTCAGCTGTTGAAAGTGAAACTAAGTGCATTTATACTATAGAGGGTGTTGCCATTAAGGACAGCGGATCATGTAGCGACTCTGATGCAGAAGTGGTCCAAGGACAGGTAATGGAAGTTTCTGAGCATCTTGTAGTTTTCTTTTGCAAGGTTACTGCTACACTTGATGTGTTTCAATGTGCAGTTCAAATTTCTATTGTTTTCAACATATTTTTAGAAATGCTGTTCTAAGAGAATTAACACTATGTTGCTTTTGTGTTCTTCAGCTTGAGCCAGGCTTTTGTGTTGGTGAGTTGCTTGAGGAGAATGTTGATTGTGGGGTTCTTTTACAGATGGACACAACTCCTGATATATGCAGCAATAAATAATCACAGGGGAAACTTTGGTTTTCTGCAAAACAATTACAATTCTGTGCATGATGATTTCTCTGTAGTTTCTGCTGGCGATCATATCTACAGTTTGTTCAACATTGAAGAACCAAGCAATCAGAGCAATGTAGTCGGCAGTGACGATACTTTTGGAACGGGCATTAAAAGGAGGACTCGGCAGCCCCAAAATCAATTACATGCCCAAAACTTTGAAACTCAGGGAACTGCTATGAGACGAATTTGTTGGTAGGTGGAACCTCAAGTTGGACCCGTTCAATGTAGTCTGCCTAGAGCTATGTGCTCTAGTGAAGAAAATCATGAAATAAAACCACCAGGGGCTGAGGCGAGAATTTTTCTTGGTGAAGCTTGCTGACTTTCATACTGCTTCTTTGGTTCTGATATCCATTAAATTGGCATGTGCAGGATGAAAAAGTTACCAAGAAGTGTACTACAACAGATGAGACGCAAGATATATTCACTCCTGAATCAAAGCAAAGATGGTGTAGAACTTCCTCAGGATTTGAGTACGACTGTGGATTCAAAAGAAGATTTTCCTATAGGTTGCCAGAAAAAGGTCCTCTCGGTGTCCTCAAAGGTTGCGGCATTGCGTTCAATTTTACCATCCGTGCATATGCCTTGGGTACTTCTAGTTGTAGGTGTGTTAATGTCTCATTTTCACCCTCCTCCTCCGCCTTCTTATTCGTTCTTCTGCTTCTTTGTCCTCCCCTTTCACTTCCTCGTTTTCTTTCTTCCTTTTGCTTTTCGTCCTCCTTTTCCCCTTCCTCCAACGTCGTCTTCTTCTACGTAAATTTTGAGCAGCATCTAGGCATAGAGGAGACATCTTCTTCTTCTCCTTCTCCTCTTCCTCTTCGTTCTCCACATTTTCCTCCTTATTCTTTTCCTCCTCCTTCCTTCCTTCTCCTTGTCTTTCCCCTCCTGTTCATTATCCTCTCTCCTCCTTTTTCTTCTTCTTCCTCCTCCCAACTCTATCAATTTACTCCTTCCTCCCAATTTTCCTCCTTTCTCTTTCCCCTCTCCAGTTCCTCCTTCCTCTTCCCCTCTTTCTCCTCCCTCATTCCTCCCTCATTCCTCCTCCTCCGTTTACTACTCCTCTACCTCCAACTTCTCTTCCCTTCAACTACTCCTTCTTCTTCATCCTCCTTCAACTCCTCCCTTCTTTTACGTCAATTTCGAGCAGCAAATTTAATTGGCTTTCTTTTACATGTAAAATGTATTTTACACACCTATTTCTACATCCTCTTGTGTTTCTTACTTGTTATGATCATTGTTTCTATTATTTTCAATTCCGAACACTCTCATTAACCCCCTATTTGCTTTTCATTTTTCGTTATTGTTTTCATATTTTGCACAACCTATAATTGCATAACATTTCTTTGATTATTTGTTCTTTGTTTGCTTTTCTATTAGATAAATTATGTTTTATTTCTTTTTTTTGAGTTGTTGGTTTATAGTTAGGGGTTGGGAATTAGGGCTTAGGGAGTAGGATTTGAGATTAGGAATTAGGAAATAGGACTTTAGAGATTAGGGATTACGGATTACGGATTA